AACAGGAAAGGAGAGGCTGAGAAAAAGTTAAGACCAAAAAGGGTGGAAGGCTGAAACGTAGAGGCTCAGCACACCATTTGTCAGAAAAAGGTGAAAACTCTGGGAAATAAATGGAATTGTCAAGTGTCCACTAGAAACAACAGAGACTTAGGGATGAAAGGCTTTTTAAAGGATCCTGAGTGGTCCCTGATCCTGATCCTGGTTCCTGATCTTTCCACTCAGCACTTTTACTGCACCTTTCTAAGGAGCCCGGGTAAAACTGAGGATGGAGCCGTGTTGCTCCAGGAAGAGGTGAATATCCATTAGATTCAGGAGTATTTCCACGGTGCCTTTCCAAAGTGGGATTTAGCAGAGAGTTATAAAATGTCCTGGACAGTGTGTGTAGACCTGGTGAATGCCCCCAGACCTTTCATCTGTCTCCCCAGCCCTTGGGCAACAAACCTCAGGGAGGCAAGACTGGCATCACTGCCACTTTGAACTCAGTGTGTTTGCTTTTAAATAACTTTACCAGCCCAGCTGCAGAACCCCCCTCCCTGTTCACTCTGTGAGTGGGGGACAAGTGACAGCAAGTGGCACCATCTCAGCTGGGCTGGGAGCTCGTGCAGCAGCTACAGTGGGACGAGGCATCTGAAAACCCTCAGAAAAGTTTCGTATCAAGTGTATGGACTGTTTTCATGTATACTAGATATGGTTGGATGATGTAAACAGGCTGAGATACTTGTCTTCCCTGGCAGACTTCTCCCATATCCAATTAAAGCCATGGGTGTCCTGGCCAGCTCCACTGTGACTGCCTGTGGGAGGAATTTGTTAGGATATTTTACACAGGAATCCAGACACTGTGCTTTAAATGAGGGTAAAATTTAGACATTACTCATTTCTATCTGACTGCCGGCTCCCTGGGTCATGATGAAAGCAGCAGTGGGTCCCAGCTATTCAGCTCGCTCTGCTGTTGTATCTGGGGCTCCTGCAAGTCCTGTGTAGTGTTGCCAAGACCTTGGAGAGGATGGAAATCCCGACAGGAGAATGTGTCTGCCACGCCATGGGGATTAGAGTTCAAAGTGCTTTAAACCAGGGTGCCCAGTTGTTATCTCCAGCTGACAATGACCAGCAAAGTCCACCGAGACACAAAACCTGTCTTGGGACTCCTGCTTGAGGCCTGCTGATTTTCCAGCTTCTGCTTTTGACACTTTAACCCCTGACAGCCACGTGTCGTGGTTTAACCTCAACTGGCAAATAAGTCATCCTTACACATGGTGGAGCCCTGGGAAGACAAAATGCCATCACTCCAAACATCCCCCTCTTCCTCCTTCTCCCCCACCTTTATAAGCTGAGCATGACACTGTTTGTTCTTGGGCCAGTTGGGATCAGCTGTCCTGGCTGTGTCCCCCCCAACTCCTTGTGCCCCACAACCTCCTGGCTGGTGGGGTGAGGTGAGCAGCAAGCAAGGCTCTGGCTCTGTGCAAGCCCTGCTCAGTGATAACTAAAACATCCCCGTGTTATCAACCCAAATCCAAACACAGACCCGTACCAGCCACTGAGAAAAAACTTAACTCTACCCCAGCCAATACTAGCACACCAGAAGGGCTTCTGCTTTTCTCCTGAGTGTTAGGGGGACCTGCAGTGGCCCAGTTTTTGTTCCTTTTCTGTTCATTGTCACCGACAGAGCCTTGGCGAGGACTCTTTGAGAGTAGACATAATTTAGGGGAGGTTAAGGGGGGAAGCAGGCTGTGGGGGTGCAGTGACATCAGATGGCCAGGAATATATCCTGTGGCTGAGTGATGCTCCTGGGAGCTCTGAAGGTCCTGAAGGAGATCTGCATCAGCTGCAAGGCTACAGCAAAAAACTCAGGGCCTAGGCAGTATGAGAAGGGCAGGTGCCTCTGGCGCTGCTCTGAGAAGGTGCTGAAGGGCAGCAAACACAACCTGCCACGCTCAGGATGATTGTTCTGGTGGGAGGGGATGCAGAAAAATTAATTTATCTTTCTGCACACACATCTGCAAACAACATTGTTGTTTTCCTTGCTTTGACTTCCTGGGGCACAGCGGCTTCAAAACGAAGAGCTGTTGATGCTGGAGGAGAACTAGCCAGTCTGCAGGTAGATAAACCAGATGGGGCAGTGAAATGGGAGGCAGATCTGGGGAAAAAAATTGGCTTTTAATTCTCTGTGTTTTGCCTGGACCATTTCCTTTAAGAGTACTTAACAAATGCTGAGGCTGCAGGGACTACACCTAAAAACTGAGTACAACAAGATCATCCTTTCTGGGCATGTACCAGTCCAGCTCCTCCAGTCACAAAGAGACGTTTGATCCTGGAGCACCTACTGCCACAAATAACACCTCGGTACAAACATCAAGAGGGTGCTGTGACGAAGCCATTCCCCTCTGACGGGGTGCTTACTGCCCACTAGATGGTACTAAGCACCGACTCTGAGACCGCCGATTAAACTGCCTGCTGTCAATAACATTTTCAGGCTCTGGGGGTTGTTAGAAAACCTCTTGGTTTTGATCCACATCCAGCTTTATAAATAGGTGGGTTCTGTCCCTTTCGGTGCCCTCGTCAGTTCAGCATGGGAAACGGTGTGATGCAGATTAAAATAAGGAGCCTGGAGGCACCGAGAAGGTGTGTGAGTATCGAGTGCTGCCGCCTTTGCTTTAGACAACACATTCAACCCCCGTACAGAGAATGACCCAGTTCCTAAGGGTGGTTTTTTTTGTGTTGGATCCTTATTGGACTTGGATTTTGTAGTTCCTGGAGGCTTCGGGGCGCACAGAGCGCACACATCAGTGCTCTCCTCCCTGATAAACAGAGAGGGGTTCACTGTGCCAGGTGAAACGTGTACCTTGGAAATCATCTGCTGTGCCCTTTCAGTATGGAGATATGTGCATTCCTATAGCAAAAAAAATAGGTGATTCTGCTTACAAACAGTGTTTTGTACAGCTAAGAGTAGCCACATTTCCACGAAGTTCTTAAAAAAGACCACACAAATGCTAGTTTGGATATTAAGATTAATATATTTAATCTTTCTTGTTTGTAAAACAAGACATAAATTTGTGTATAGATATAATTTATATATTTTTTTTTTATTTATATATACTATATACAGACCATAAAAAAATTTTCCTCTGTATTAGACTGAGAGATTTTATGGAGGAATGATATAGGCATAACGGGGAGCTTGAAGAAACTCAGAGTTATTCCCAGGGAAAAGGAAAACGCGTCTCCCTGCCAGCCTTCAGCGCTGTAACAGGCCTGGCCCACTGCGGGCTGACGTCCCAACCGGCTCTTCCACTGGATATTTGCTACATGGTTCTTGAAATCGGGAGGCTGTCCCACAGCAGGATCCTCTCTGCCTTGCTGGCAGCCCAAGGCCAGGACAGCCCCGGGCCAGGGGAGGTTATTGCACCGGGCCGAGGGCGCGCGCGATAAGAGCACGCCGTGCGTTCCCACGGCTCCTACGGAAGAACGAGACGTTCCCAATGTGCATATTTGTACAAAATAACAAGAGACGGGAAGCGACCGATCCTACGGAGATCCCCTGATCGTCCCCGAGCGCTGGGGCAGGCGGGCTGGGGTTGATCAGAGCCGTGACCTCCCTTTCCAGCCGGAGCGGGCGGGATGGGGAGCCGCGGGAAGAGCAGTGGGTGGCAGGGGAAGGGCAATGCAATGTGTAACCTTGCATTTTTCTCCTCGCTCTGTTTCGGAGGTGACTGCAGTGAAACACCAATTAAGGCTGTCTGATTGATTATATCTAGTAGCCAGACTGGGAGGAGGAGGAGGAGGGGAGCCTTGGGGTGGGAAGGAACGCAATTAGGAATCATTTTACCATTCACCTGCAAGTGAAAAAAAAAAACCAACCCAAAACCAAACCCAATCGAAAAACCCCAACTTCAAACAAATAACCATCACACAGTGCTAAACAATGCTTCTTATGGCAGGCAGCTTGGTGAAGACAGGAAAAGGACCCCAACACCCTGGCAAGGAGGACAGCCCCTTGTGTCTGGCTCATGGACAAAGCTGACCTAGGGCTCCTCTCTAATGGTCATGGTGAAAGGAAACAGGAGAGGGTTTAGGCTGAGGCTTGGAGGCAAGAACCTGACCTCTAGAGAATGGTGTGAAAGAGGCTTCCTCTCAGTTGCTAGCCCAGCTTCTGGCTTGCAATGGTCAAAGATCAATCTGGGTTCCTTGCAGGGTCTCTAGCATGGATACAGCCATCCAGAAGAGGAGGAGGAACATAGAATTGTTTAGGTTGGGAAGATCTCTAAGATCACTGAGTCCAACCATTCCCCCAGCACTGCCAAGCCCACCACTAAACCATGTTCCCAAGGGCCACAACTACACATCTTTTAAATACCTCCACACATGATGATTCCACTACTTCCCTGGGCAGCCTGTCCCAAACCTGACCACCCTTTCAGTGAAGAACTTTCTCCTAATGTCCAGCCTAAACCTCCCCTGGCACAACTTGAGGCCATTTCCTCTTTTCCTGTCAATTGTTCCCTGGGAGCAGAGCCTGACCCCCGCCTGACTACAACCAGGGAGTTGCAGAGAGTGAGAAGGTCCCCCTTGAGCCTTCTTTTCTCCAGGCTAAACACTCCCAGCTCTCTCAGCTGCTCCTCATTAGACTTGTGCTCCAGACCCTTCCCCAGCTCTGTTCCCTTCTCTGGACTTGCTCCAGCCCCTCAATGTCTTTCTTGTTGTGAGGGACCCAAAACTGAACCAGGGATTCGAGGGGACCCACCAGTGCCCAGCAGAGGGGACAGTCACTGCCCTGTCCTGCTGCCACTCTGTTGCTGGCACAGCCCAGGTGCCCTTGGCCTCCTTGCCCCCCTGGGCACACACTGGCTCCTGTTCAGGGGCTGTTCCCCAGCACCCCCAGCTCCTTTCCCCAGGGGCACTTTCCAGCCCCTCTGCCCCAGCCTGGAGCTCCAGGGGGTTGTTGTGACCCAGGGGCAGGACCCGACACTTGGCCTGGTTGAACCTCATCCAACTGGCCTCAGCCCATGGATCCAGCCTGTCCAGATCCCTCTGCAGAGCCTTCCTGCCCTCCAGCAGGTCAACATTCCCACCCAACCTGGTGTCATCAGCAAACTGACTGAGGGTGCCCTCAATCCCCTCGTCCAGATCACTGATAAAGGTGTTAAACAGGCCTGGCCCCAACACTGCTCCCTGGGACAGCACTAGTGACTGGTTCCAGATGGATTTAAATCCATTCCCCACCACTCCCTGGGCCCGGCCATCCAGCCAGTTTGTCCAGGAGAATCCTGTGGGACACAGTGTCAAAGGTTTTACTAAAGCCTAGGTACACAACACCCACAGCCTCTCCTTCATCCACTAACTGAGTTTCCCTGTCATAAAAGGAGACCAGGCCGGTTAAGAAGCCCTTGCCTTTCAGAAACCCACGCTGGCTGGGCCTGATCCCCTTGTCCTGTACGTGCCATGCGATGGCACTCAAGATGATCTGCTGCCTGACCTTCTCAGCACTGAGGTCAGACTGACAGGCCTGTAGTTCCCTGGATCCTCCCTACTCGCAGGCATGAAGCCCTTGCCTTTTGCACAGGCAGTACCAGTGCTCAGGACTAGAGCACTGCTGCCTAAGCTGTGACAGTAGAGCCTAGTAGGGTGACCGAGCTCTGTCCCAGGATCATGGCATCCCGCCCGTGCTAGGACTACTTCCCAAGCCCGAGCATAGCAGCGGGGACTTTCACCCCTGCTGTATCCCTGTAGGTCCCTTCTGCTGCTAATGATGTCGTATTTGTGGGCCAGGAAGATCCTGGAGGCAGAAGAGCTGTTTACGTGGCAAGACACTGGGCTGGCTCCACATTGCCCAAGTGAAGCCAGGAGATCTCAGCTCAAGCTCCTGATAACTCACTGGCCCACCACAAACTGTGACAAAGGTCTTTGCACCAGTGAGGCCCAGAAGCCCGTGGAACCAAATCAGTGTGGAGATGGGGTGGCTCTGCCTCCCAAGTACCGTCACTGGCAAGGCCAGAGTGGGAGAACAAGCAAAGAAGCTGCTTGAGCCCCTTGATGAGCTGGTTTTGCACAGCTTGTGACAGGACATGAATTCACCCTTCAAAACCACCGCCACCACCACCACCACCACACCACCATCCATCCTGCAGAGATCAAAGAGTGTCTTGGCTGCTGCAAACCCCGGTGGATGTGGGGCTGCGGACACGCGTCCTCACCAGACCTGTGGGACTGGAGAACCGCTACCACACGGCCTGGCACACACACTGGCTCGCTGGTCTTCACAGCTGTGGCTTACTTATTGATCAGCGTCTTTAGGGAGCGTGTCAGCGTGCTCATGACAGTGGCAACCGTGGCGGACTGGCGGGCGAGCTGCTCCACGGTCTGCTGGTGGCTCAGCATCCTGGCCGTGGACTCCTCCGCCGCCTTCAGGAGGAAGGTGTAGTTCCTCACCACCTCCTCCACTTTCGTCAGCAGCTCTTGGCGCTGGGACTCCGAGCGCACGACGTACACCAGCCTCACGAAGGTCTCGATGAGGCTGCTTAGCACCTGGAAGCTGCTCGTGATGGCAGAGAGCATGTGGGAAGGGCTCTTGTCAACGGCCGCGACGCGGCGGCAGGACGCCCGAAACTCCTTGAACTTGAGGGCGAGCTCTTGCTTGTACTCAGCCAGCTGGGAGATGTAGGGTTTGCAGTCCCGGACATCGGGGCTCACCACACACTGCCTCAGGATGGTCAGGAGCTCATTGGTGTCCAGCTGCACTTGCAGGAACCCGTTGGGAAAGCTGTAGGCGTGGCTTCGAAGGGTGTTGATCTTCGCCAAGCTCCCCTCAAAACTGGAGGTCCTTAAATCTATTTCCTGGGTCTGACTGTCATTGGGACTGCTGCAGGCTGTTGCATCTAGGACCTGGAGGGTCCTGCTCATGACTGGGACCATCTGATTGTCCAGCTTCATTCCTGGGAGTATCTGCATGGGGATGGAATAGGACAGCTCGTCCTTTTCACTCCCATCATCCGCAACATCGCATTTCCTGTAGTAGAAGCAGTACCGGATGGAGCAGCACTTCTTGTCCTCCATGTCTTCATCCCGCAGCTCAGCAGGACTCGGGTACATCTCCTCCTGGACAGAGAACACTCCTGAAGCTTTCTGGTTCTTTTTATCCTGTGCTATCTGGACATAGGAGGGGTCAGCCACTCCGGAGGCCTCCTGGATTTTGCTCTTCAGAACAGGACAGATGATGCTGGGCTCAGGCTCTTTCTGGGGGCCTTTCTGCTTGGTCGTGTAGATGCTCTGGTAGATGTCAGAGGACAGGGATGTCCTATCAGTCTTATCTATTTCACTGACACTGTAGCGACGCAAGAGCTTTCTGTAGTGTGGTGCTCCCATGCACTCCCCTCGGGAAGTGCACGTTGCCAAACAGGACACGCCGTTCTCTGGATCTGACCGGTAGTCTCTGGACTCTAAACTCGTGGATCGTATCCGCTTGCCTTTGGAAGGGCTGCTCATGCTTGTCAGCCTAATGGCTTCTACCTGCTTCTGGTCATCTGCAGCTTTATCCCTCCCTCTCCTCTCCAGTTCTGGTATCACCAACTGATTCGGGGGCGGCCTCATTCCCCTGCAAATCCTCTTGCAGTCACAGCTGCGCCTTTGCTCCCTGGACATCCCTGGGACTTTTTGCACAGGACTGCTCCTTAGCTGGCAGCTGCAGCGCCCAGGGGCGGGTGGGTGCAGATACTCCTGTGGGGGGAGGTCACCTTTGCTCTTTGGCTTGAGCAGCTCTTCAAGGAACTCCAGCTCATACTGCTTCACCTTCTGCAGCTGGGCCTGCCGCTCGTCCGTCTCCTTCTTCAGCCGCGTGGGAAATGTTGCAGAGAACAGGTTCCTGAACCTGAAGGGAGCTTTTGGGGCTTTGGGTTTAGCTGGGACATCGGCATCTTGTTGGGCCACCTCCAGCACTTTTTCTACTTTTTTAGAAGGCACAGTGCTAATCTGCAGGCTCTCGGATCTGGGCATCAGCTGGATTGGCCCTTTGGCTTCCTCGCTGGTGCTCCTGAAAATGCCACCGGGTGATGGAGAGTGAGCTTTGATGCTCTCAGCTTTTAAGATTTTGGCTGAACTTTCCTGTTGCACTTTCTGTCCTGGGTTTGAAGGAGCCGTGTGTTTCTGCAAGACGAGGCTCGCAGCTTCCCCACCTGCCTTCTGCCCCGTCTCTCCGCTTGCAGCTTTTCCTGGGACATCTTTACTCACTTTTTGCTGGTAGCTTTTAGAGGCAAAAGTCTTACTGGACATCATTTCCTCACCTGCTGAGGCGAGGTGGAAAGCTTCAGCCTGACTGCCATGAGCTTCTTTAGGACTTGGAGAGACTTCACAGTGCTGCTGCTGAGAGAGTTGCTGCTGCTGCTGCTGACAGTTGCATAATGTCTCTGCAGGTTGTGGACCTCCTTTAAGTGTCAAAGGCTTGCTGCTGGCTAATGCACAGCTGCTGGTACCATTCACATTCTGGTCCTCTTTTAAGGCTGATACCACTTGGGGAGCTGAGGCTTTTGCATTTGCCACTTGCTGCAGAGCAGCTGAAATGATGGCTGGAGTTACACCGCCCTTTTGGTCCAGGAGGAGCTTGGAGATTGGCTGCACCTCTTTGGGCACCTTCTCCTGTAGATCCTGTGACTGCTCCCTGCTCAGGGCTGCTGTGGGATGCAGAGATACCTCAAAGGCAGCTTTTGTGTGGCCTGCACCTTTGCTTTCAGCGCTTGGCACTGGAGGCCCCTTGTTCTGCTCGCTGAGCTGGGGGGTCAGCCCTGGCTGGACAGCTGAGGTGTAGCTCCGCTCAGCACATTGCTGCTCCTGTTTGCTCTTGCAGTTGGTAAGGCCAGGACTTTGGGGAGAGGCAGCTGGCTTCACTGAAGGGTTTGGCTCCTGGCGGCTCAGGGGGTAGGGTGAGGTGAGAACAGCCTGGGCAGCACAGCTCTGGATTCGGAAAGGCAAGTCCTTCCTGGCCAGGAGGTTTTCTTTGTTGATGTGTTGTGTGAGGAAGTAGGCTGCGTTCTGGTGCTGCTTCATAGCAGAGACCATCTCTGAGACATCGGTGAGCTCTGAGGAGTTCGTCTCATGGCCAGAGTCCAAGGACGACTCGGGAGTGATGGCAGCCAGGACAATAAGACCTGAGGAGGGACACAAAGAAAACCCCACAACAACCTTCACACCACCCCTGTGTGGAGGAGAGGGGAACTCCAGGCGGCAGGAGGGTCCCAGGAATGCAGGACACATCATCCCACTGGAGGAACTTTCGTGACTTTCCACTATTAAGAGTTAATGCTTTTAAGTGAGACCACTTTTCAGCACTGAGCTGTCTTGCTAGCTAAATTCAGCAAGAGCTCCTGGGAAGTTTTCCAGTGTTAGCAGAAACACTGGATCACTCCACAGGGGCTTGTCTGGTACCAGAAGGAAAATTGGGCAGCAGCTACTCTGCCATAGTGAGTAGGGCGACCAAGGCAGGGAGAGGGACAAAGGACTGTGACGCCACCAGGCTGGTCCCAGAGTCACCCATCAGACAGCAGGTTTGCCCAGTGAAGGGCTCACACCCTGCAAAACCCACGGGAACCTGCAAAGACTGATGGCCAAAGGTACCGGCTGAGTGGGGTCAGAGCGGGGAGGAACTCATGCTCACAGCACTGGTTTGTTAGTGACTCACCCCAGCATCGTGGCATGTGGACCACAGCAGATATGGGATAACCAAGAGACTCCTTCAGCCACTGCCAGGGAGAGGAGTCCCATCTCAGCTCCTTAGAAATCTTCTGAGCAGCAGCTTGGCTAGAGCCTGTTGCCACAGCTTAGTTTTTACTAGAAGCTGCTCCACAGTCACTTTTATAGGATGGGAGAAGGAGACTCAAGGGAAGGACGTACAACAGGAAAGAAAGGCTATAGGGGAAAAAGGGAGTCACAGCCACCGAAATACCTGCTGTCTGCTGTGGTGGGGGATGCGGGCAATCCTCCGAAGCAGCCAGGGCTTCCAGCGCCTGCAGGGTGGACACCAGGGCATCGTCCAGCTCTTGGGCGTGGTCGCGGACCGTCCGTGGCTGCACGCTGTCTATCAGCGTCACGGGGATCTCGTCGTAGAGGATGCCACAGAGGTGCCGGCCCTGCTCCTGGCTCTGGGCAGCCGCCCGGCGCTTGGGGTCGTCCTCGTCGGAGCTGTTGTCTCGGAAGCCGGGAGGAGGGGCGGCGATGGCGGGGAGCAGGGACGCGGTCTCGTCTTCTTCCTCGTCGTTCCCGGGAGGGGGAAGCGACATCAAGTCCACCATGTTGTCCCGGGCGGCGCTGGGCTTGCCCCCCGTGCACGAGGCCAGCCGGCCCTTGATCTTGGCTTGGCAGGACTCGCAGTAGAAGTGCGAGGCGTCGCTCCGCAGGTGGGTGTCTATGGTGTGTGCCCTGGCCCTGCTCGCGTGCCTCTCGTGGTCGAGGCCGTCGGGGTCGTACTCGTTGGCCGCCCCGTTGTAGCCTTGGCCGGAGCTTTTGGAGGTGGGGTCAGATTTGGTCCTGGGACGAGTTTCCTCGAAAAAAATCAGGTTTTCATTGATGTCCGTCCCGCTCTCTCTTTCCTTCCTCTGCTCTCGCATGTGCAGGTAGCAAAAGCGGATGAGCTCCGAGTCAGAAGCCCTGGTGGCTGAAGCCCCGGCTGCTCCGGTGACAGTGGCAGAGCCACCCACCAAGCCGTTCTCTTTCTTTCCCACGTGCCCTGCCCCGGCAGGCCGGTGGAAGTTGTGTGTGTTGATGTAATCTAAACCAAAACCACAACAGGCGTGTTAGCAGCAGCACCCGGGAGAAGGAAAAACAGCACGGGGAAGGAAGCTCCTGTGTGCTCTCTGCCCTCCAGCCCTCAGCAGGCTGGACTGCAGTGGGACATGTGTATCCTGCAACACGGCCAGGCCACCTTCCAAAAACCTGCAGGGCCTATCTGCCAGGAACAAGGGTAGAAGAAATGTGCTGCACCTACAGACCATAGAATTATCAAATGGTTTGGGTTGGAAGGGACATTTCAAGGCCATCTAGTCCAATTCCCTTGCAATGGGCAGGGACATCTTCAGCCAGTGCAGGTTGTTCAGAGCCCTGTCCAACCTGACCTTGAATGTTTCCAGCGTGTGTGTCTCTCAAGAGGAAAGGCATAAGCCTGAGGGGTACCACACATGGCCACCAAGAGCAGGAAGGAACTGCTGACACTGAGGACAAGGGACCTTCTGGCTCTGAGATATCAACCCCTCCCTACAATAAGAAGAGAAGGGAAGACCTGGAAGAGGCAGAAGGGAGAGGGACGTACAGAGGTTTACAGGGTGCATGTGGAGGGTGGCCAACTCAAAAAAAAGCCCACGTGGTATTGAAGGAGCTGACTTGCCTTTCTTTCCCTAAATCAATAAATCTGGATTGCCATTAAAGAATCCCATTTAAAGAGTTGTTAAAAGTGTGTTGGTGAGGCCCTTAGGTGTGGCTGGGCTGCGGTGATGGTGGATGGCAGAAGAGCCTAGAGGGTGGCTGGACAGGATTTGGGAACCAGCAAAAGCCCTGTGACACACTAAGGTAGCATTGCTCCCGTTGCCTCCAAAATTGTTACATGCTATAGAGTTTAATTCTTTAAATTTTATAAAGCAAAATATTATGACATCTATGATAAAAGAGTATTGTCCTTAAAGCTTTTTTTTTTTTTGATGAGGAATTAGAACAATGCCACCATGGACCACCAGCCAGCTTTGAGGCATCAGAAACACTGTTCTGTTCCATCCTCTCCGTCTCTCCACCCATCTCTTTTCTAGACTGACCACAGCAAACTCCTTTAACCTTTCCCACAGGCCTGTTTCCTAAATATCTCAGCTTTTTTACTGCTCCAGGCAGGGCTCTGTCCACGTTAGCTACCTGGGAAAATGCCTTGTATCTGTGCTGTGTGACAGCAGCAGGGACAGGAAGCAAGATGCCAGCAGGTTGCTGGGGGCAGAGCTGGGCAGAGCCAGAAGAGGGCTGGCCAGCACATCCAGCACTGAGACACAGGGACACAGGTGCCACATCCCTGATCCACCAGCCACATCCAGAGGGCAGCAGGAGCAGCCTGGCTGCACGCACCGACAAGGACCTTCAGCCTCAGTCTGCCAGCCCACACGTTACATGGCAAGAAGGAATTGCCACCATTTCTGCCTAACACTGGCCAGACCGAGCAGTGCTCCTCAGGAGACTGCTAAATGTGGTGCAGTGTTGCCTTTTGGCTGTGTTTAAGTGCCAGACACACCCCCAGCCCCTTGTCCCTTGCTGCCCACGATCCATGTGTTATTTCTGTCTGGCTGATGGCTACTGGATCAGGCTGGCTCTGAAAGAGCCTACTGCTCTTGCTGTTAAGCATCTCCCTGTGACAGCTTCCCCTTGCTCCCCTGGGCAAGGCAAGTGGCTGAAATACTGCTTGGCCACTGGTCCAGCCCTCAGGAGGGGGATCTGTCTGCATTGCAGGTTGAATTGTGCAGCTGTGCTGGGAACGGCTGCCAGGGGATGCAGGTTCTGTCTTACCAAGGATAAATTAAATCAAACAAATCCTAATTAAATTCATTAGCTCAACAAATTGGACAATTTGTCTCCCCACACGCACGTTTGTGTTATACTGCTCATCACCCGCAGTGCTAAAATCCCCAATCAACCCAAAATCTCTTTCATCTGCGGCCATGCCAGTGCTCAGAAACGCTGTGTGGGGGACATGTGGGCTGTGGCAGGGTGGCATGGGCTGAGGCAGAGGCTTTCCCAAACCCAGACACCTCCAATGGGTCATGCCCATGCCTCACTGGCTGCCCATGCCAGTTGCCTGTTGCTGAATGGGGCCAAACCCCTCAAATCCACAATCCAGCTGCTGGGTGATGGGGGTAAAAGTCCCAGACAAAGAGCTGAGAGAGCATTTCAGGGCAGAGAGCTGCTTGCCTGACAGTGGCTCCTGGTGGGAGTGGGGAAAAGAAGGGGCAGGGACACCAGAGAGCAAGGCTCTGGCATATGGCTCCGCAGGGAAATGCAGAGAGATGGATCTAACTGACAACACTGGGACAGCCTGTGCATTTCTAAAAACGTCTGCAGTTCAGCAGGAGGGTTTAATGGGCCTCAGGGAAGATGGATGTGCTCCTCTTGTAGGTAAAAGCATGGGCCAAGGCTTGATTTTACATTTAAGATTCTGGCACAGCCTGCCTGCAGCCTGGGAAGTCAACCGTCTGGGCTAACTTAATTCATCCCTTTGGGGCTTTCTTATCACTCCTGCAAGGATGTGCTAATGATCAGCAGTCCCTGCTCCCCGTGATCCACCCAGCTCCTGACAGCTCAGCCTGCAGCCCTTTTGAGACCAGACCTGTGAGCAGACTTTTCCCAATACACACTAAATTCACTCCTCCTGAAGGACGCCTGAGCGGCTGGGCTGAGTGTGCTGGGTCTGCAGGGAAACTGCTCCACTCCACTGGCCACAGAGGTTTTCACTGCACCTCTGAGGTCAGACCAGGCCACCCAGAGAGGGGCTGGCTCTGACCCATTGCTCCACTGCTGTCCCACCCAGACTGTGACTCCCCCTTACCCCCGGCAGAGTGGCATTGGCTTCTTGAGATTGTCGAGAAAAGGGCAAAATCTACGACCCTTTTTGGCATGGGGTTTGGACCATGCCCATGAAGGGAAATCTCCTCAAGAAAATATCCTGGCCATTGCCATCATTGCTGGAGCGTGGAAAAACACCACTTGCACCCTGTGAGTGCCACCAGCCTCTTTCCAAGCCCTTGGGTATGTTCTGGAATGCTCTCCCCACCCTCTGACTCCCCACAGCCATGTGCCCCATGTGTCCCAGTAGCCATATCAGGGTGACACGAGCCAGGGAAGGACCACTCTGATGATGGCCAGTTAAGCTGGAAACACCCTCTGCTTGTAGCAAAATGTGCCTAAATCTGTTCCCTTAGGGCACCCAGAGCAGGGAGCACAGTGACAGCTGTCAACCAGAGCCACAGGGGAAGAAGGAAAAGGAAACTGCTTATACTTACACCATCATCAACTGCCAGGCCTTTGCCTGGATTCACTGAGGTTGCTGCAGGTGCTTTCCTGATGCCTCTTGTGAGGGTGTCCTCCCACACGTGCTGAGTCTGTGTCCAGTGCCTTCCCCAATGGCACCACGTCCTCTCCCAAGGACCTTGCTTAATCTCTGCACTCCTCCCACCTCCCCAAGCCAGTGCCACCTTGGGGAGGGAGTTTTGACACTGTCAGCTAAATTAAAACCTTGTCTGAAGCTGCAGTGTCACTTGGGAGGTCTTGGGGCAACCTTCCACAGAGCGCTGGGTTGGTGTTTTGCCCACATTTTGTGTCTCCCCATACAAAACACATCTGATGGGAACACCTGCACAGAACAGCAGCACGTAGTTCTTGGTTGGCCCTCGTTTGAAATCACTCTCGAGAATCACTGATCTTTCCTGAGGGTGACTCACACCTGTAATCCATCCTCAGGGAACAGCACTGGTGCCTGTCAGGACAGAACCTCCTGCTGTGCCCAGACCAGCCTTCTGCTCCTTGCACCAGGCTGAAAAGCTGGGACACCAAAGCTGCCTTCCTGATTTGGGAAATCAGCAGAGCAGCCAGGCCTGCAGAGCTGCCCATGCACCCCAGACCCCCAGGATGGAGGCAGCAGGAACGCAGTCCAGTGAGCGTGTCCCCTCACCTGGAGCCGGGATGCCATCCAAGGAGCGTGTGCTGCATCCCTGCGGCAGCACGCTGGCTGTTCTGAGAGGATCCAGCACTCAGCTGGCAGCACTACAGCTCTGCTCAAACAGCACCTCCTGGATCTGCTCCAGGAGTTGCCAGAACAACACTCGCAGTGAGTGTTTACGGCTTGAGCTGACACCGCAAGTCAGAGCTTATCCAAAGGGAGGACTTGTGCCCCTTGCTTTCTGGTTAAAAGGGAGTCTGCTTGTTCCAGAGGTGAATGGGAGCAGAGGGGAGATGTCAGAGAAACCCTTCACCTTCCTAACGCTGCAGAGTCCTGTGTAGAGGGAGGAGAGGGAGGGGGAGGCTGGGGAAGGGGCTCGCACAGAAAGGGGAGGCTGAAACGTACCTGCCTTGATAATCTGGGGTGGGGGTGGCTGGCTGGGGGCCCTGGACAGGATCATCTTCTTGGAGTCCACCAGCAGACGGCAGTAGCCCGCGATGAGGCAGGCAAAGTTGGTGGCTTCAGGCCACTCCATCAGCAACACCAGCGGCTGGAAGGCAACAGAGGCAAATCCCGTGAGGACCACGAGGCTCAGCTGGCAGCGAGCAGAGCCCCACAGGGGCTGCACTGGGGCCTGGCACTGGTGTGATTGGTGAGCTGCTGGCACTTCCAGCACAGGAAAAAACCAGCCAGGTGCACGTCCTTGCTCCAGCCCACCCAACAAATGGCTGTGCACAAGAAAGCGTCTCGCTGCAGCTGTGATTCCTGCCTGCTGACTCCCCTAAGGAGGAGGGAAGAGCTGGAGCCCCACTGGGCACAGGCTGTGCATGGCAGAGCCCCCACACAACTGCCTTCTGACCATTTGTCTGCCTGTCGATGCTCTAAGCCTACCTGCAAGCACCAGTTTAACCTTGGGAGCTCAGGGATTTGGTTGGTGGAATCTCCAGCTGCCAGAACCCCTGTTCTGCTGCAGGCACCACATCTCCCCCCCATAAACTAAGACATCAGCTTCCAGCAAGATGCCAAAGGGGCCAAGCCCCATTACAGGCTCCCCCAGCTACCACTCCGAGCCTGTGGATCTTATTTAAATCTATCCCTTTGGAAAATTAAATTGGTGCTTGGGAGCAGATGGTGTCTTCTCTTTTAGGAGAGCGTTCGTTCGCATGCTAAAAAAGATCTTTGCTTTAAAGAGAAATAAAAATCAGACACGATCTGTGTGACACGGATCACCTCTTGGCACAGCCGAGCAGCAGACAGCTCAACTCCCTGACTCTCAGATTGTCCCAAGAAGGGGAGCTCTCCTGGGGAAGCTGTCGGGGTGGGATTCACTCTTACCCATCCAGTGAGGTCTCCTATGCACTGCTGGGACCCTGCACAGCTCAGTCGAGTGGTCCACGCTCGGCCTGAGCCCCCAGCACTGCTCAAGGCAGAGCCATGAGATGGAAAAAAATTGACAGTGACTTCAATAACGTTATGGCAAGGCAGGTCCTGCCCTCATCTACCCCTTACACAAAGCACCCCTACCCAAAGGACCTTTGTACAGGGCTTATCTGAGGCAGCTGGGGCATGTTTAGCTGCTGTGCCTCAGGCTGCCCATCCTGCCATGCCTGGTGTCTTGCACACTGACAGCCCTCCAGGACTCTGAGGAACTCATTTACCCCATTCAGGGCACACGAAGCCTGTTTTAAAAACCACTTAAGCCCACGCAGCGTGAAAAACATTAAAGCTATTTTGGTTTTCTTGTTTTATAACCACGGGAGGTTCCTGGTGCCCACTGGCCAGTTCTGTGCTCTGCTCAATATTTGCTTTTTTTAAGCCACCAAGTCAATTCTGGCAGAGGAGGAGCTGCCTTAGGCCAGCAGGTCACACTCTGGACCATCCAGTGCAATAAACTTGGGTGTGAAGCCATCAGCCCTGGGCAAAGCTGCATGTGATCCCCAAGCCATGCCAGCCCCTGGCAGGGGCAGATTTCTCCTTGGGCCAGGGTAAAAAAGTTCCCTCTTTGGCTGTTGTGCAGGAAGAGAAAGGAAAAGAAATAACTTGATGTGGAAGAGAAGCAGCCTGACAGGTGAATGTCCTCTGCCGAGAGGCTCTGCCTCTGCCCACTTGACAAAGCTCTCTCTGCATCTTGGAAAATAAACCTGAGATGACACAGATCCAAGGGGAAGTATCAAGACAGACAGAGAGAGTAGTGAAGAGATTCTCCACATAGCTTGAAGGAGGCAGGCGTGCAGCGGTGAGGGGGGTGACACCTCCTAGCCCAGCGCCAATTTTGACATAAGTGATGAAAGGAAACCATGTGTTCCAGTTCTGTGTCTGAAGCATCCTTAAAAAAAGTGTCTTGGCTAAGCTTTCTCGTTTTTTTTCAAGCCATCTGTTGAATGAAGAGATATTTGTGCATTTTGCCCCCTCTGTTTTGTGGCAGCCGATGGTTGGAGTGAAACAGCTGCTGTGACCTCCCTACCAGGTGTCCCAGCAGGTCCAGCCTCCAGAACAGCTTCCAGCAATCAGTGCTTGGCATGCTGGGGTTAACTGTGGCACTCTGCTCTGAAAAAAAGAGGAATCCTAATACTGATTAACATTACAGCTTAGAATGGGGTCTTAGAAATGATTACTCTCACATCTTGACAAGGAAGCTGCGTGAAAGTTCTTCTCTAATTGTCGAGCGTTCAAATATTGTTATTAGGGATGAAATCACTTAAGCTGCGGCACTCTGGTGATCTCCACCTGGCCTGGGAGCCCACACTGCCAGGGCTCTGTGTCCTGCTGATGGATTATGGGCTGTTCACAAAGACACTGAACGTGAGCAAAGCTGTTTCAGTCAGGCTGTGCATCTCCCCTGGCCTTGGCAGCTTCTCTGCTCCTCTGGCCATGAGTCTTTGCCACGTGGGGTTACAAGATGGAATCTCTCCCTTCCTCTCACCCAGGTGGTTTTGCTGAGATTACAACAGCTCGGCTGCCTTTGAGACGTCCACCCTCCTGCCACATCCCCCTGAAAGTGGCCAGCAGATCTGAGAGTGATTTATGGGGTCAAGAGGCAAAACCACAACGTGATCTCAGCAGCCTTGTTTCACTGGGAAGTCAGGCCGCAAAGAGGAGGTATCAGGGATGGCAGCTAATGGAGATGTTATTTTTAGGCATCAGCAACCTTGGTCACCCTGCTCCACGCAGGAAAAGCAAATGAGACCGTGCAGAGACAGCCAGGCACAGGAGAGCTGAGCAAACATTGACTCTGTGAACAGGTGCACGAAAAATTTCCAACTGATGGTGCTAATGCAACACCCCTGTGTCTCCCTGCAATTGTTTCAACTTGCTGCTCAATCTCAACCAAACCTGACAAAAAGGCAGCAACCTGGAAGGGCATGAATCTTCATAAGTTTTCTAAACCCAGTGGTGCAGCAGAGCAGAGAGACTTCTGTGAGCAGCAGGAGCCAAACCAGTGCCATTCCTCTAAGACCCTGCTCCCTGCCCTGTCAGCACTGATTCAGGTTCCCAGTGGGATGCCCAGGAAAAGGTTCATCTCTGACCTGTAATATGCCAACATGTACAGAAGGTAATTTTAAAGACAATGGTCTTTCTACACCTAAATGTACAATACCAGCCCGAAATTATTGGTGTTTTGGTCTTTCACTCATAATGGTTTTCTAGATTTTCTAGGCCTTGTGAGGAAAGGACACTTTTTCTCTCCAAGTTTGCTGCTCGGCAACCAGTCACTCTGGAAAGTAAAACAAAATACATTTATACTGGATGGAAGAGATAACTTTTGCATTAGCTTATTAATGATATAGTGCTTTTTCTATTATGCCTTAACTTTAAATCAAATCTCAGTGTCCTTCTGGAGGGTATTCTCTTGTTCAGATGAAGGTGAAGGTTTCATAGAAGGATATCTGAAGGAAATTTTATGTCCAGGATTTTAATAATACTCATATTTAAATTAATTTATGACCTATGCAGGAAAATCTATGCATATGATAGCCCTTAAGCTTATGTGCATTTCCTTTTAATCTCCCCCCTCTTTATCATGTACTCTGGGTCTTACCCTGCATTCTTTAGTGCAGTGCAGTAGAAAGATGGGAGATGAATTTACATAATTTATGTTCCCTGGTTTATTTGAGGTGCACTGCCAAGTTTATATAATACAGGCACCTGGGCCTAACGAGACAGCAGTCGATTTTTCACTTCTACATTGACCTTTCCTTGTCTCCCCTTAAGCATTATTAACTCAGCTCCATCAATACCAGGCTGCTTGTGATTAGGACCACAATTTCCCACCTGTTGATCAATGCCTTGCTTTGCAGCAGACCCGCAGGTCTCTCCTTCCTTGGGGTTCAAGAAGCCACCACCTCTGCCAGGTGAACAACCTCCTTGTGCCTTGCAGTGCTACAAAACTGGATGGAGAGGTACCTCTAGACACTGCAAGCTTGCGGGGGTCTCCTCCTCTCCGCTTCAGTGCTGCTGCCACGTCCCCTCTCCACGCTGCTGTGACGTGGGAAGCTTCAGGACACCTTCCCATCATTGCTGCAGCTGCCACCCTGGCTGGCTTTCATCTTCCCCCTGGCTACTCAAAAGGCTCGGGGGGATTTCTAACAAGTAGAGCCTGCTGGTGCTTTTTGGCACCCCCCACACTTCCCATCTGCTGAAGGCAGTTCTCAGGCCTCCCCAGGCTGCAGCACACCCAGGCTCCCTTCACGCCCACTGGGTGCCCGAGGGCTGCTTGTTTGCTTGAGGAGTTTTTAATTTCTTTTTTCTTTTTTTTCTTTTTTAAAAAAAAAAAAAAGTGAACAAATCAAATTTGGCTTTGTGGGCTTGGAAACTCATCCTCTCCACGCGTTGTCTGACTCTTGTGTTTCTGGCTGGCTCCTGTCCTGGGTGCCCGCAGGCAGCGCTTTGGGTGGCACCGGGGCTGGCACCGCACACCGGGACGTGCTTTGCTCTACATCCCACTGCTTTGCTCTACATCCCACCACCTTGTTTCACATCCCACTGCTTTGCTCTACATCCCACTGCGAGCAGGAATCTGCGCCCGCCCCTCCCACCCCAGGTACTGTGCCAAAGGAAATCTCGACCCCTCCCGCTCTCCCACGAGGTGACAGTGTCTCAGCTCGGCTTCATGCAAATGAAGATGAATCCAGCGTAAGGAACCAGAGCCTCCAGGTCCATCGTCACTCCAAAGCCTTGCTCTTCATGGAAAAATCCGATAGGCTTGAGTCACTTTTTGCATGGGCAGGAGTAACGTTGGCCTCGCCTGCCCTTGTCAGTAGGATGGGGCTCCCCACAATTTTCAGGCCACAATCTGGCAAATACACAGAGGGCACTGGCCTGGGCACCCATGGCATGTCCCTGCCACGCTCAGTTGAGGGAGCACCACTGGGTGTGGGGCTGGCTTCAGCAGGGAGGGCTCGGAGGGGTCACCATCACATCTGCAGTGCGAGGAAGGGGCTCCTTGGCTCCTTCCAGGGGGGGAGGGAAAGGCTGAACCCCAGCTGTGCATGGTATTTGTTTTCATGGCAGGCTGCAAGCACGCCGGGGGCCCCTGGGACACTGAGATCAATACCCAGATTCTGGGCACAGCAGCAGCCAGGGACCTTTGTGAATTAATTTTGCCTTTGTTTTCCTCTGTCAAGTCTTGATCTCGGTTTAAGTACCAGCTGGCTGCAGGCTCTGCTGGAGACCGAAGTGAATTACCCCAATGCCTTTGATTGAATTATGCCTGTCCAGCAGCCACACACCCTGTGCTCCTGCCCCACAGCCTGGCACAGGGACAGGGTACAGCCTGGGACAGCTCCTCTGTTAAGCTGCAGACACCTGTCCGGGGCTCAGGTGATCCGGCTGTCCCCCAAACATTCTTCCTTCATTCTCATTCAGAGTGCTTCAGCAGCCTTTTTTCCAAAGTCAAGACTGCTAATAAGAAAAAGCCCAGCGGTGTGTAACTGTGTAAATCAGAAAGCAGAAATGTTCCCTTGGAAAAGGCATTTCAGTAAAAAACAAATCTTCTGTTTCTGCAGGAGCTGTGGAGCCGCACAGCCAGGGGAGCCTGGAGCTGAGGCAGCTCTCTCCCCACTCCTTCTGCACTGGGGAGCCTGGGTGAGCGTGGTGGGCAGTCATCCACCCCTCTGTGCCCCACCAGGGCTGCTGGGCTTGTCCAGGTGCCAGGCAGGAGATGCTGACACTGTCCTTCCTGGGATACTGGGAGGCAGAAGAGGACGTGGCAGTGCTGCACTGGGGAGGAGAGGAGATGCATGCCCAAAGCCCAGTTCTGAGCTGGATCATAAGCACTGGCCACTCAAATGCTGGTCCCAGCACTGCCAGGCAGCAGGAGGGAGATGCAGGGCCCTCTGAGCCCCGCACAGTTCCCCCTGCACAAGCTGCACTTAATGCATAAAAATCACAGGAGACACCATGTGCCACCTCCCTACCCCCAGCAAACCTACGAGCCTCAGAATCAATGCCTGACCACCAGCAAAGTCCACAGTGCAGCAGGAAGAAAGGAGAAGCAACAGCCACAGCAGAGAGGAGACTGCCAGATGGGAATGACCATGAAATCCTGCAAAACAGCTGCACCACTCAGCACAGCTCGGGGAGTGCTGTCCTGCCCCCAGCCGTGGGCTGAGAACTTTCTCAGCATTCCCAAGCGAACCTGCCTTGCTCATTTGTGACTGTTGAGATGAAACTTGCTCCTGTCCTACCCAGCAGCTCTCACAGACCTTGCAGGGAACAAAAATCCTTCTTGGAACCAGGAGCAGAGGCCTGGAGGCTTTTGTTCCTCTGCTCCTCTATGAGGGGTCCTGTCAGCATTTGCCCCCTCCTTGCCGCACTTGCAGTGGCAAAAAGCTAAAGAAGGCAAAGCAGAGGTACCAGCCCTGGGTTTGTATCCAAAATGTGCTGTTTTTAAAAAGAAACTGAAGCCCAGGATGGAAAAGCTCCAAAACAAACCAATTAACTACCTAGTGAATAATTCATAAGACAAACACCATTTCTTTTGCTCCTGAAATAAATGCAAATGGTTTACGATCTCCTCAAGATCCAACAAGCCTGCTTGTTACCTGAAAATCTCCCCCAGCTCTTTCCTGGCAGGTGAGTCTGGGCCGTGGTGGCAGGCCAGAGGGGGATAAGGACTGGCTGGTTCAGTCAGGGTGTTCGGAACTTCATGGATGCTCCATGACCTGACCCCTTTCTTTAACCCATCATTTTAACTGCCCTGAGAAATTCAAGATGGCCTTTCTGCACAAACCCCTGAACCATCACTGACCATCTGTGTTTCCACCTCGCAGCAGCACCAGGCACAACGGCCCAGGGGGACACCCCGTCCTGCACTGCAATCCACGGGGCTCCAACAGGCTCCCAAGGGTGATGTGGATCTGACGGGTCCCCAGAGCACTCAGGACACTCCTTTGAGCACAATCCTCTAATGGTTTGCAGCCAGAAACAGATTTATTTGCAATCAGGGGCTTTAGCCGGCGACACGTTCAGTGCAACAGAATAATTGCAGAAAGCAGATTAAGCACTGCGAGGTAATGATCTTTTTTTGCCTGCTTTTCTTAGCCTGCCTCATCCATCGCTGTCCTGAGCAGGATTAGCATATGCCTCATCTTGGAGCAGACATTCTGGCTTTAAATCCCAGCCCTTTGGATAAGGGCTAAATGAAGACAGATAACAGCAGCCTCAGTGCTGGCAGGGTGCTGCTGAGCCTGCTGTGATCCACAAGTGGGGTGCTCGCTCCACTCCAGGCAGGCAGAGGGGCTTTTGGTGGCTGTAAGCAGCTGCCTGGAATTTCTCACGGAGATAAAGCCACTGTGCTTGGGGGAAGGATGTGAGCTGGCTTTTCTCCAGCCTCTGGGGTGGGGGCTGGATAGAGAGGACACAGGAGAAAGTCTTCTCCTCCAGCGGGAAAGGGCTGGTAGTGGTACAGAGTTGATTGGTGCTGCAGAGCACGGCTGAGGGGAGCAGCACAGCGGGATCTGTGGACAGGCTGTGTGGGAATTGCCACCTAATTCACAGCAGATGGACTCCAGCATCACCTAAGCCTCCAGCACATCTGTCACTCCTGGGGCCAGGCTGTGCCAGAGGGGGGGACACACTGCCCTCTCCCACACCAGGGAGGGGACAGCAGCACCCCACCATGATCCCACTGGAGCCAGAGCCAGTGCCACACATCTCCCTGCCCGGCTCTGGCAGATGTTGGAGCAGCCACAGAGCTGCATGACAGCAGGGAGCGCTCACAGGGAGCCACCAGCAGCCACGGGGTTGTGACCAGCCTATTACTGATGCATTAATATGGTGATTTTATACACACAGATCCCAAGGGTGCAGGCACCAGGAGGAACCAGCAGGGTTACTCATGGTGCAGAGGATGTCCCTTGGTTATTCCCGCTCTGTAAACAGTAAGGAGGAGACCAGTGAGCATCTGCACAGTCCAGGCAGCTGGAGGGGCTGGGCAAGGAGGGTTTCCACCTGCCCAGGCTGCAGTAGGGGAGGCTGAGGGTTTTGAAGGGTTTGGGCAGCCACAGCAGGACACCAGGACTTAAACTGGGCAACAACTGACCTCAGTGGGATGCAGAAGAGGGAATGTTACAGATATTACAGTTGACCAAATACCCACTGAGTTATGAATGCAAAAAAAGGGCTTCTTCGATGAGGCCGTTGGAGGGGAAAACTGAAGCAGAGGGGAGGAGGATTAAATGTGGCTCTGGCAGAGGCTGCTGGGGTATTACTGCAGTTCAGCAGACCTGCTGGACCAGGCACAGTGGCAGCAGGAAAACAGATGTGGAGGAATTAATGAGCCTGGTGGGAAAAAACACTAAAATCCACCAGGACAGAAGGCAGCAGGAGAATCCTAAACAAATCCACCATGATTACATCTGCAAGACTACAACTGCCCACAGAGCCCACTCCTTGGTGTGCATTCCTTCCTGAGCCCTGTGTTTTGTCATCCTCCATCTCCTGCTAGTTGTTGTGTGGTGCACTGCTGGTCCTGGTAGTCAATCCCCATGGTCAGGCCCTGCCACCCCTCTTCACCCCTCGTGGGTGCCAAACCCTTCAGAAAAACTGTCAGCAATACAGCAAGAGCTTTGTCTGCTTCTTTGGAGCGCGGTCCAGCAGCCACAAGATCCTAAGGATCTTCCACTGGCCTTTGCTCAGGTTTTTAGCAAGCTGGGACGTGTCCCCAGCAGACTCAAAGGCAGATAACCTTGTGCCTGCCCCCATTATCCTCCCCTGGCAGTTGGCAAGATAGCTGGGGGAGCCTGCTGGACCAGGGACACAGTGATTTCTTTTCATACTCTGAGCCTGACACCCATGGCCCCCATAATTTCCAGTTCCTTCAGCAGTCCTGCAGGGCTCAACAAGTTCCACCAGTGCTGTTAAAACAGAAACCCTCCCAGTCCCCTCCAGTACCTGCACCCAGCCCAGGTATGGCCGTGTACTGCTCCTCTCCAGCCCTGGGCTGTCCTGCCTCCAGAGGATCCTGCTCAAACCATGGGGCAGGTGTTTGGGTCATGGCCACAGCACCACCATCCCTCTGGCCCTCGGCACCAGTCCCTGCCCACGTGGCACAAGGAGTCAGACTGGCAGGGGAGGTGTGACTGCAGCGTGGAAGGGGCTTTGGAGCCTCTAAAAATCCCCCAAGGAGACGCTCCAACACGCACCTCTGACCCGAATCCCCCCAAAGGCTGGCCCCAGACCCCCAGTCTCACACTGCACACTGGCCCCTCTCCCCGGTGCCTGCCTCCACGGCACCCGTGCCTACCTTGGCATCCAGGATGCTTGTCTCCACCCGGGCCACCCCCTGGTTCTCCCTGAACAGCTGGATCTTGCTGACCTTGCTGAACTCGGACAGCACCGTGGTAAGGTTGGTCTTCAGGTCGATGACGTGGCTGATGCCGTGCCGGGGTCCCACCAGCAGGGTGGTGGCTGGCTGCTTCTCATCCTGGGGGCACGTGGGGAAAGACACACAGACAGACAGACAGACAGACAGGGGTGAGTCAATGCACCCTGGGGCTGGACAGGCTGTGCATGGCCCTCTCCAAGGAGCCAAGCCTCAGTGCTGGCATCTTGGTCAGGTCCCGATGGCCTTTGCAGAGCAACAGCAGGTGAAGCTGCTGCCGTGAACCTGCCTCCCTGAGCCCCTGTGCAGGGCTGGGAACGGCGTGCAGGATGCCAAATAAAGCTCTGAACTGGCTGTCCACATGAAATATTCAGGCTCACCGGTGTCACTACACAAAAGTAAGAGCGTGTTACAAATCTGCCTGGTCTGACATTGCCTCTGAGACAAGGAGGCAAAGGAGGGAGTGAAGGTATTTCAGGCAATAAGAAAGACCAAAGCCTTGGATATAGGGATCTTTCCTGCTCTGGTCTAGAAGGATGCTTCAAGCCAAACATGGAGGAGAAGAGGAGCTAGGCAGAGCAGCGCAGAAGAGAATAAGAAAATGCTTTGTACTCCTTACATGTAGTTCAACTCATAGGAGGGCTGAGAGTCATTGCTGTGGTGTCAGAGATGGGAGAAAAAGGGCAAAGCACCCACATCAGATGCTGCCAGGGCACGATCAAGTTACAAACATGTCTGAAACTACTCCAGCTTCACTGAGCAGGTCATCTCGTTGCCCATCAGGGTGGCAAGAACAGAATTGACCCTGACCCTGCGGAGCTGAAGATCCAACCTATTGACAGCAGAGGCTCTGAAGGCTTTACTGGGTGGGCTTGGACCTTGTCAGGGGAGAGCAAGAGACTGAGGGAAGTAATTTCTGGGGGGAACCACAGCTCCTCTGGCTCTCCCCTCCAGCACACACTCGGAGCCACTGCCAGGCCCTTCGCAGCCCACCCCGAATTACCGTACCAGCCCCACTGTGTTGAAGAGGACCCCAGCGAAGGTCGGCAGCTCGTTCAGGATCCTCAGGTACTGCAGCTTTGCCTGGGCCGTGGAGACCTGACAAAACACATCACAAAGATGATAACCATGAGCACAAAGGGGAGGAAACGCAAGAGGCTGGTGCAGACTTGGGAGGGGTCTCCAGCAGGAATGGACAGGAAGTTGCCAGGCAGCTCCAGGCACGGGCTGTGCCAGCAGAAGTTTGAGAAATGGGGATGGGGGGGTCTCCACTCCTCTGCCATCCTGGGCAGGTGCTAGGAGCTAACTCAGAGGTGAGGCACAGCCAGGAAGGAGCCCCAGTGCTTGATGTATAATATGTATCTGATGGGGGATATATACCCCCCTCCCCAGGGAGCTCTGAAGGCTGCAGGGACCAAGGCAGTGGCTCAGCAGCCACCTCCAGAGCTTTCCAAGCCCAGAAGCAGAGATAACAATAAACTGATCTGTGCCACCTCAGCCAAGCTGAGAGCTGGATCTCAGCTTATCTCACTCCTGAACCTCACTGCACTCCCTGAAATCCAGATCAGCTTTTGGAAGTGGATTCAGGAGAGTGTCTATCTGGCTGTCTCCCTAGCATTTATCTCACATCCAAGGGGACTTAAAAACAGGAGCCCCCAAGCAGCTGGGGACAGCAGGCTGGGGTGGAGGGCAGGCTGACACCCCAGCAGCCCTGAAGCAGGACCAGTTTGTGCTGGGCTCACCTTGGTGCCGCCAGGCTGGTGCTGGTGGGCTTTGAGCTGCTGCGAGAGGGATTTCCGGAGGCTCTTCTCTTTGATGAGCTGCAGGAGCGAGGGGGGCAGGAAGGGCTCCAGGCCCCACTCCTTCCTGTGGGGAGAGAAGCCTGCATGAGATGCTAGGCCAGAGACACTTGCTGATGGGCAGAGAGGGACAGAAACCAGGGATGCTGTCCCAGAGCATCCTCTTGCCGTCAGAGGGAGCCGGAGCCACACCAGCACTTCCTTGGTGTCACGGCCAGGGCAGCAGCAGCCCCCAGTCTGGGTCCCCGGGGGGATGGGACCCCAGGCTGGTGCCAAGCTACCCCCCCCGAAGATGGGGACAGGGAGCAGGACTCACTCCACATTCTTGAGAGAGACCTTCTGGCTGGGGCGGGTGGCTGAGACGGTGATGTAGATGTGGAGGGCAGCCAGCCCCAGCAGCATCTCTGGCTTGGGGTCGGTGCCGAAGCGCTCTCTGATCACATCGTTGCGGCTCTGCGGGAGGGGGGAGAGGCATCCTCAGATAAACACAGGGACAGGCATGTTGTGCCACCTGAGAGATGCCTCCACAGGCCCAGTTCAGCAGATGTTTGCGCCATCAGCTCCCAGTCCCCTACCTGGATGTACAGGTACTCGAATGCTGCAGGGTCCCGGCGCAGCAGCTCCACCGGGTCCTTGGGGAAGAAGCTCACACGGAAGAGGCATCTCATGCCATGGTAGTGTGTCCTCTGCACAACCTGTGGCAGGAGCAGAGGGCAGCGGTGAGCCCAGGAACTGTATATTTGCCTGTAGGGCAGGAGAGCCCCTTCTCCTCTCTTTTGGGGTGATACCCCATTTCTCTACTCCGTGCACCACCTCATCCTTTCATCCCGGGAACAGCCCAGCCTTCCTTGGTGTGGCAGCTTTGCCTGGTGCTGCAGGGGTTTATGCCACATTTCCTCCATGATCCCCCCATTTTATCCCTGGCCCTGTGCAGTGCCAGCTTCCTGGCTCTCCTGGGCAGGTCAGGGATGTTCATGAATGGTGTTTGCGGCTCCCCCAGCTGGAACACAGAGCATCTCCACGTTGCTGTCACTGTTAGATGGGTAAAACCCTGTCTCCCTCCCTCTCTGTGTCCCAGCCCCTTCCCATGGCCATCCCAACACCCTCCCACACCCAGCAGCTTACGTGGGCCAGTGGCTGCTTGTCCTGGAGCAGCAGGAAGCGGTGGCTCTGCTCCGGGCTGGAATACTCCAGGACCAGGGCAAAGTGCTCGATGTGCCTCAGCGACAGGCGGTCCTGCAGCGTCACCATCACGTCCTGCAAACACCACGGGCATCCCTGGGTGCGAGGCACCGGCTGCTTCCCAGGCTGGGAGCTGGCACCCCAGTGAGAGCCCAGCCCCTCCCTGGCGACGGGGGTCATGCTGGTGAAGAAGGATGAGGCCCAGCAGCGCCGAGAGGGGCTGTGGGTGACCAGTGGCCAGATCCCCAGCACCTCAGGTAACACTTTGGTGGCGCTGAAGGGGTCTGCAGGGAGCTGGCAGGGGGACTCGCAGGAGCATCCACCCCGGCTGCAGAGCAGGCTCAAGGCAAGGAGGGAAGTCAGGAGAGGGAGAAAGAGAGCACAATCCCATCCCTGCCAGCTGCAAAGCGTGTCGCCTGGGGAGGCAGACGGGCTATCCATCACGCCAGAGCAGCTCCCAGCCAGCCAAGTGCTGCAGCGGCGCTGGGGCACGGAAGCAGCAGACGAGGAAAAATGAAATTGGGCGGGTGGGAGGAGAGAAGCGCCGGCGGTGCCGCGGGGAGGGGGGGGAAGCGGAGGGGCTCACCTTCACAGTGGTTCGGCCGTCGAACGTGAAGGATTTGATCTGCCCGTTCTCCAGGAAAACCTTCAGCACGTTGGGAATGAGGAGGAGAGCTTCTTTCTTCAACATGTCCTGGCATGTGGGGCCGGCAAAGGGGGAGGCGAGGAGGATGGCGGGGGTGGGGGGGAGGGCACGGAGAGGCAGAGGGAAGATGCGGAGAGAGAAGTGAGTGTCAGTGATGGAGCGGTCGTGGCATCCTCCACTGCTCTGGGCTCTTGCACTAAGAGGCACATTTCCCCTGGAAAGCCAGCGCTCTGCTGAGCTGTTGAGAAGAGCAGAGCTGAAGCAATTCGGAGCTGCCTGACAGATTCACCCAGCCAGCTCCCAGCAGCTGCACTGGGAACGGAGCATCCCACTCTGTCCAGCACATGCCAGTGCCCATGCCTGGCAGCCTGTCCTGCTCCCCTGGCGATGGCCAGGGTGGCTCAGAGCCTGTCCCCCTCTCCTGACCCTTACCCCAAGCCTAGCCCCCCTCAACCCTGCCCATCCCCTCTGCAGGAAGTTGGGAGAAGGCTGGTTTTATTTAGTGAGAAGCATTTCAATCAGATAATTACCTAATTGATTTTGCTTAAAAATAGAATTTGCTAGAAGCGCTTTACAGGGTTTTTTCCCCCGGTTTTATTTTGGGGCTATTTTTTTTTTGTATGCTCATTAATAAAACCTTTCTGATGAAGAGATAAAGGCACTGGGCTGGAACACTGCAGCCTCCATGGCCATGCAGCAATGCCCTTGTGACTGCCCCACACACAGGCAGTCCTGTGAACCTTCTGGCATCAGGCTGGAAGCCACAGACCTTCCTTAAGGTAGGCACTGGTACTGCCTGGATGCCTCCCTTGGGTGCCCATGGAGACTCAGATGGGAACAAGGTTTCTAAGGCAAATTTTTGGGGCTCCATCCCACAGAGGGATAGGGGTTGTCCCCCCAGCACTGACCCAACATGTTGATTGCGCCCAAAGGCATCTTCCCTGTGGGGCTACCCAGGGCAGATGGCAGAGCCCAAACTGGGAGAGGAGCCCTGTGCCCCCAGACACCTCACACCCCACACCCCACAGCCCTGGGGACACCTCAAGGGGGTGGTGACACACAGAGGAAGGCAGGGCAGGACTTACTGGGTCTGTCTCGCCGACTGTCACCTGCTCTGAAAATCGGACTTTGGCCGGGTTGGACCTGAGCTTCGCCTTCTTGGCTGCGCTGATGAAAGCAGATTTGGGAGACTGGAAAGAGAGCACTGGGTAAATCCCCTGCCTGCCCTCGGAGCTGTGGCACCTCTGCCTGACTTTGGAACCGAGGTATGGGGAAAGCCAGACACACAGCCCAGAGGAAACCCCTCTGAAGCCATCGTGATGATGGGGAGTGGGCAGCAAACCATGAAATGGGGAGTGGAAAGCAAGTTCCCTTTGTTGTGGTTTTATGGTGCTGCAGGCAGGGCCAGAATGATGAGCAGCAGCCCCTAAAGTCACACCAGCAGCCTCAGCACGATGGGGGAGGCTGCACCCCCAGCGAGCTCACGTGTCCAGCACCCCTTGTGCAGGCTGATCTCTGGCAGATGCCAGCCAGGTCTTGCTTGGAAGCACCAGCACTGGTTTGGATGGGAGAGATAAACCCCTTGGATGTGGGTCTGCAGCCACAGGGAGATGGGATAATGTGGGACCCTGGGCATCCATGCAGGACATTCTGGTGGCAGTGCTGAGGAGCCTCTGCCTGCACATGCTCTGGCATGGAGACTCGTGCCACAGTGCTGATGGTGCCAGCATCAGCTGAGCAGCCTGTCCTGGCAGGTGGCCATCCAGGGCCAGGAGGAAAAGAGCTTTTTTGGAGCCTGGCACACACCCCTGCTCCCCACAGAGCCGTGCTGGGTGGTGGCATCTTCCCAGAGAAGAGGGGAGCACAGGGGAGCTCTGCACTTATCTCCTTCCCCGACATCAAAGGGCTCAGTGAAGCAGAAATGCTGCCCTGCCACCACTGCCACTGGCAGGACGGTCCTGTCTGCTCCAGCAGCACAGGTGCTGAGCCCCAGTGCACCATCACCACTGGTGCCAGCACTACCACCAGCCACGCTGCAGTCTGGCACTCCCAGCTCCCCAGGGACAACCCCTCCCTGCCACCTCTGGCGTGCTGATGGGTCACTTCATCAGACACATGGGATGTCCTCAGCAAACCCCATGGGTATGGGTGTATTTTTCCTCCCTCCCTCCTGCGAGGAGGCAGTGACAAGGACAGGGAGATGGCTGCATGCCCACGCTGACCCCAAGGGGCTGCGGCAGCTCTCAGACCCCAAACCTTGGAAGGGCCTTGGGGTGGTGGGACACTGGTCCAACAAGTCAGTTGAGCTGCCTGAGTGGTCTCCTGGGGTCTCCAGGGACCCCACATCAGTCTCCAAAAGGGCTTTTAACCCTTGTCCTGGCTCCCCTGGAGCTGGCCACGGCCTCGCCTGTCTCACCTGGTGGGTGTGCAGGACCGTGAGGATGATGAAGTCCTTGGCCTTCCTGTGACAGAAAGGAGAAAGGAAGGTGGGTGGGACCTTATGGTGATGACGTCAACATGTGCATTTGGCTACTGAGAGCACATCCCACCCTTCCCAGCCCAGTGGCAGCCAGGACCTTTGTGGGTTCCTTGGGGTGCTTGATAATATGGCTGTGGATGCTTTCCCAGTGCTGCCCACTCCTTGGCCAGCTGGGAACAGGTATGGCACTTGCTCCAAGGTACTACCCTGCTCAGGCTGAGGCTTCCCCACCCCAGCAGTGACCATCAGTGGCACTGGTGTGCATCAACACCCCAAGGCTTTGGTAGGGGCACAGCAGACTGGCATGAGCCCCCTCCCCGGAGGGGATGAGGGACAAGTGTTGTCCTCACCTGACAAGCTCGATGAATCTCTCTCTGGGGGCTTCACTCACATCCTCATCGTTGATGGCCAAGATCTGGTCTCCTGGCAGGAGTTTATCCTCAGAGGGGCCGCCTGCCAGGAGAGAGGGTCAGGGCCAACCCAGGCATCCCGGAGCTGCGGGGTGGAGGGGAAGCAGGAGCGTCCCATGCATCCCCAAAGCATTTGCCCCTGTGGGTATGTGGCTGTGGAGCACACCCTGCAGGCCCACAGGAGGGCACAGGAGGGGACAGGAGCCCAGGGAGGGGTCCCACCAGGGAAAGATGCCACTGTGCTTCCCGGCACGCCGTGTCCGTGCCTGGGGACCACCCCCACCCCCTGCCTACCTGCTGCCACCGACCGCACCACCACCGGCCTCTCGCTGCCAGCCACGAAGCCGAATCCGTAGAGGGGGTGGCGCTGGACCGTCACCTGTCGGAGCGTGTCCGAAGGCAGCTGCCCACATTCCATATCATCGCCACCGCGCTCCTCCGGCATCACATGGCTGCGCTGCGGGGCGGAGGGACAGGCTGTCACACACCCCGCCACAGCGGCCCTCCCCGCTCCCACCGAGCCCCCTGCGACCTGCAGGGCAGCCCCTGCCAGCACCACCAGTCCCAGCAGCTTCCTGGGACGTCCACAGCCCTCCCCTGCAGAGTGGCACTGCTCAGTGCCTGTCCTTGCCAACAGCGCCAGCAGTGCGGGCACGGGGACTTTCGTGGAGATGTCCTCCAAGGGTAAATCATACCACCTGCTCCCAGCATCTCACTGTCTAACCCCTGCTTCAGCATTTCACTTCATTGGATGGAAGACCTGTGTGGGATAAACTACTGGTGGTGTGGCTGTGGACATTCCCTGAGGGATGGCACTGCTGTGAGGTTCAGACGGGACAGTGGCCCTGGCACAACAACTGCCGCTCTGCTGAGGTTTAAGAGCAAACTCAAGTGTTGGCTTTTTCATGCTGTGTAACACGGCTGTACCATATTAGAGATAAATGGAAACAAGTTCAGCCAGTCTAAAAACTGGGATTAAGGCAGGCTCAGCCACGGCACTTCCAACCCAGTCTCCACCACCAGCCCAGGGACTCCTCAAAGCACTGACAACCTGAGCACCCATCCCAGAGCAAGGTCACGTCAAACCTGCCCTTGGCATGCCGGAGCAATGCCAGCCGTGGCTCCAGGCTGCTCAGCAGGGCTGTGAGCTTGAGATGAGGGAGCAATCCCAGCGCCATCAGGGTGGCCAAGGAGCACAGCACAGATGGCAAAAGGCACAGCCACAGCCAGAAAACCGAAGTGACGAACGCGCCGCTGTTTCTGTGCTGCTCATTGACTGATCCCGTCCAGACTATTTAGTCTATTTCAAAAAGATCCTTCCCGGCCTCTTGACAGCACTCCAGTTGTTTCACCTCTTATCAGTTTAGAATTTGAGGCATCATCCATCTCATGCTATCTCGTCTGCATTTCTGACGCCCCCCCACCCGCTCCCAGCGCCGCATGTTGGCTCCACCGCAGAGCCAAGGGGGGCGGCTCGAGGGGCTGGAAGGGGATGGGAGATTCTGGCAGCTCCACACCAGCACACACTGCTTTGGGCTCGAGCACATCACTGCCAGCAAAGACAGCCCTGTGCCCAGCCTGATCCCCCCAGTGACTGTCTTAGTTTAACAAGATTACAACCTTGAAATTAGGAAGAAACAGATTGGGGGGGGGGGGGGGGGGGGGGGGGGATGACGACACCGGGAAAAAATTCCAACATCTTTTTTTCAAACCTATGACAGTGACCTACCCAAAATCTTGTAAGGGAGCAGAGCCATGTGTCCCATGGGAGCCAAGGAGAGCTCTGAGCACCAGGTGCCTCTGCCCAGGGTCAGGGATACAGCGCTGGCCATGGGTGAGCTGTGCTCTGTGGC